ATAGATATTCAAGGTGTTGGGTAAAAATAAAATAATTCAAACTTTCTCTACCATTCGGTAAAAAATACATGATTTATTTCTATGACAAATGCAAGTAAAAAGATGAAGGTTAATGAAAAGTAAGCAAAAATTCTCCACAAAAAGAAAGTAAAGGTGGTGTGGCTGTCCATCCTGAATTCCATTCCATATCCATACTTTAAAAGATGCAACTACCATATTAATAGAGCTAAAACAGACATGCAGACATATGCAAAATCCTAATGTCAGTGTGTGCAAAGTAGCTATCTGCAGGTAAAATCTGGCCAACCATTTATGATAGACTATAAAGTTCTACGAAAATATTTGCACTATCACTTCTGCATTTTTCATGTGTTTCTTTCATGGTTTTTGAATTTTTGATAGTTTTAGAATTCTATACATGTGTTTACATCCCTTCTACACTCTTTGTCTCCCTTCCAATTCATCCCACTTCCTCCATCAACCCCTATGCCTTCTTCTATGATCATTATTGTCATACAAACACACACACACACACACACACACACACACACAACACACCCTTTCCCAGTCCAATTAGTATCATCGATATGCTTAAATATTTAGGGCTGACCACTTAGAACTGGGTAACCTATTAAAGGGTTTGTCCCTGGAACCAACAACCGTTTCCTTTTCCCTTAACAGCCAATGACCATGTCTTTCCATCTGCAATGGGCCTTTCTGAAGTTTTTTCCAACTATGTTGGCATGTCAACTGGTGTGGTTAGAGTAAAACATTAATTTTAAAAGGTGCTCAAAATTAAACAGCCTAAACTATCTTCTAACAGATCAACTAGAATGGAGACAAGCAAGTGACTGCATTTAACTCATGGAAAACAATTTAGAAATATCTACTTATAATTAATTTTCATCTGAGAATTAAGAGGAAAGTTAAACCTTGCTCATATGGCTGGCAGTGGAATCATGGGTCTCATTCCACACACGAGGAATCCTGATTACGGGAGTTCTGTGATAGAGGGGCTACCAGGGCACTATTACTGGTTTGCAAGTTTGCAGTTCATTGAGTGGCACTGCTGGGTGTGGGCTGACTGTATGGCTTTTGGCTTCCTACTATCTACCTTTAACTAACCTATCATCCAGAAAATGGAGACAATGGGTTAAGACAATTTTCCAAATATAATTCAGAAGGACTGTCTTAATGAGGCAAGTATAGGCACACGGCATTAAAAGGAGTGCCAACCGTTAACAGTGTTTGTCCTGGTTAATTATATACTTGTGTTTTCCCAAGGACGAACGTCTTGGGGATGGTCTGCAAATAACAACTCTTACCAAGAGGCATGTCAAGCTTGGTCCTAGCCATATTTCCTCATTTATTTTTTTTTTTTTTCGTCACAGCAGTTTTACCTAATTCTTCAGTTATCCAGGATCATGTATGAATGCTACTTAAAATGTTTGGCTCTTAAAAAGAAAAGAAAATGAAGAATAAAAATGTATTTCCTTTTCACTATTCTTATCCAACCAGAGACACTTATGCAAATTTTATGCAAAAGCAACACCCTGCTCATCCTGTGGCTCCCTTTGCACGTTTCTTGGATCCTGAAGAAGAATTGGACACATGTCTGGAAGAGATGAACAGACCTGCTGTTTCATTTCTTTGCCAACTGTCCCACAAAGTTTCTTGCCTTGCCTTCACTGGAAAGATGAGTTTTAAGTCCCATGAGCTGGGGAGGAGAAGATGGAAATTGGGAATAATGAATTTGAGACTCTTACTTTTGAAAAGGATCCTGTGGAATAACATTAAATCAGCTTTATCACTCAGGATATGGGGATCTTATTCTTACCAACTCTGGGACTTCCATTTTATACCCTCCTCAATAGTTGTGTTTTTTTTTTTTTCCAGACATTGCTTTTATGTTAATTTAAGATAGTTTAAGAATTGTGAAGTTATTTTCATCTATAGATATTAGCTTGAATTTGGAAATTGATTTTTTTGTTTTACTTTGAATACCTAGTAAAAAGGACAAATATCAGGAAAATGGAGAGAATAAGAATGACAAAAGTTAAAGGCCATGTGCACACTGTGATAGAAGTTAAGTAGCTTATACAGTTGCCAATTCCTGAAAACAGTTTTGACAAACAAGACTTGTGATCCTTCCACGTAGATGAGGAATCATATACTCCAAGTCTATCAATGATCCCAACTGGTACAGTGCTATGTCTGTCTACATTTTCCCCTTGAACTGCTGTAATGTGCATGTGCTGGTTATAGACTAAGCTTACAAAATGCCACAGAAACCTTGCATAAAGTACTACTTCTTTGGCAGCTTGTTTATTATGCCACAGAGAAACACTGTTATAATTTACTGTTGCATTCATTGTTCATCTTTTCTCTTTCTCCCCCTCCCACAACTCCCTCAGCTGATACTTAGGGCCTACTATTTAACTTGATTGCCAAATCCTTACGCCTTGTTTTTATATGTTTTGTTTTGATTTCAAGGAGTTTTCCAGACTGACCTTGAACTCTATCTATCAATCAGATAGGCCTTAAACTTGATACCATCCTGTCTTAGACTCCTGCATAGTTGGGATGAACAGGTCATTGTCAGAAGTCATAGATGCATTATCATCTTTAAACTTAATAAAATCCAATTGCTTAGATGTGTTTACATTCATGTCATTATTGTGAAACAAAATGGCTTATTTCCATATTTGTCAAAAGGGTTATAATCATGCTGGGTGGGGCTGAAATTTGAGTCACCAACTTAACTGCCTTTTAGTGAAACATCACATAAAACAACTTAGACAAAAACATCAACAAAGTTGCTGGTACATGATTGGCTTTGTTTGTTAGTTTATTTTGTTTTGTTTTTCCTTTTCTTTCCCAGATCAACTACTCTATTCTCCTGGAAAAATAAGAACAAAATGTGGATCTGTTGTTCCATTCGAAAGTGGAGGGTTAGAAGAAATTTCATTTCACTTGCATCATAAATCTTGGAATAGTCACAGCTGGAGAAGAAAGTGGATCTTGATCTGTGCACCAAAAACTTCCAACAAGCAGTCAAAGGTTCCTTCCTGCCAGCATGTGTTACATTGGTAAACTGCAGTCTCAATTCTTTTTACTTTTGAAGAAAAACATTTCCAGCTAATAACACAATTACACTTAAGTATCAGGGTCCATTTTAGTATTATTGCATTTGTTAAATCTAACTGAGTCCAAATTACTTCCTCAATACTAATAAGAGACAGAGGAGGACAGAGAAAGGGAAAAATGAAGGATTGGAAGGGGATGGAGGTGGGGTAGGAGGAGAGGGATAAGTAGTCTTGAGGCAAATGAAATTTTAAAATGGTTTAATAAAGCAAAGAAGACGTGTATACACAATGCCAGGGAGGAAAACAGAGATATCAATGTTCCATATAGCCTCAAGCCCAATAAATGTCAGTTAAACATGCTGCCCACAGTTTCTATGGAAACCCCTTAAATTAAGAGTGGAGTACAGACATTTTTGGACTGCATTCCACAAGCTGTTTATTTAATTATAAAGAAACATGAGACTGTTAGGGACAATACTATTATCATACTGATGGCATTTAGGGTTCAACAAATAGGTTTGTAAAATGAAATGCCGACTTTAAAAAAGTTGTTAACTTTGTATTAATGCTATGTGAATAAAAGGCATCTCATATTTACAGGACTTCACACATTATTTCCCTCAGGCGAACCCCAAATTAGCCAAATGACATTCATTGAAAAGAGAGTTCTTCAGAGGCTTCATGCCAATTATACCCCCCTACGCCCAGTGAACAAAACCAAGGTCACAGCATATTTTCAATTAAACCCAAGATAGCACCAAAGTGCAGCACAGCTGGAAAAGCCGGCCCATTATTACCCCATAGATCATTTGTGAGCAATGAATAGGTCTCCAGTGCTTTTCTGTTTTATAGGCATGTGAATATAAAAATAAAGAAAATAGCTTCAGATCAGCTTTTGCCTTCCAAAATAAATAAACATTTTTAGGGCTTTATGCCTGGTGGCCTGAGGAAAAAATGATTGGAAGTTATCAAGTTCTCTCTGTCTGGTCTTTAATCTGGCCACAGAGAACCATCTGATTGATGGATTTATTCATTTCTTCCTTCTTTCACTAAGCAAACATTTCATTTTCAACCAAAATTGTGTGAGTCCCTTGCTAAGGGACAGGGAAGACAGGATTGTTTGCTATCCCCTTTTTAAATTAGGTGTCTTTCTCAGAGTAATGCACTAATTGGCCACTACATACTTATAGAGAACTAACATGATGCAACCGTACTGGATTAAGTGCCCGCCTTCAAGGAGATAACAATTTAGTGAGACAACAGGATGCATAATCATAAGGAAAGAGGCAGTGTCCTTCCTGCTGCTTCCCAGCCCTAATACCTCTAAGTAGGATTATCGGCTGTGAGTGCTACACTGAGTCAGAATGTAAAGGATCGTGTGTGTGTGTGTGTGTGTGTGTGTGTGTGTGTGTGTGTGAGAGAGAGAGAGAGAGAGAGAGAGAGAGAGAGAAAGAGAGAGATGGTTTTTCAGAAGAGGAGGTTAGATGGAGGACTTCAGGACTCTTCTTTAGGGGAGCCACATAAACAATTGTGGACGTGGACCCAAGGCTTATACAAATTATTTATTCTGTACAATGTATTGAAGGAAGAGGACATCACAGGAAAACTGAATCTCAAGGCCAGTAATCTCTGGAGTTGAATCACGGAGCATGATGCCTATTTCAAATTGTCAAAGGGAAACCCACACAGATTCAGCAAATAAAACTTACTGGATAGGTCTTTTCTGCTATATCGTGGCATTTTTTTAAATCAGTTATCATTTTTAATAGCTGGACTTCTTACAAATTGCTCCAGCGAAGAATGTTTGTCATTGTTGTTATCAGATTCGATAGCATATAAAAAGCCACTTCATGTTAGCTGTTGTTGTAGTGTTCAGCATATTGTGGGAACCATTTAGTATGAATCATCACCCACCTTGTTCTCCATTGGCGTCTCTACACAGTAAATAGGCAACGTATTTGCCAACCTAAGAAACAAAAACAAAACAAATAAATAAATCGTATGCATTAGAACAATTCAGCACATTTCCTGATCTGCCATGACCAAAAACACAGATACCACTGGTGACAATATTTATTGAATCACCACTGAATTTTAACACAACACTGGGCAGAAAGCCAAAGAAGCTATTTTAACCACTGGTCATTTGGAATAATGTACTTTTTTAATGACAATAAAAACATGCATTTGGAATCAGATCTGCAGTCCACACTTCGTTTTCGCTTATTAGATTTGTGAACTTAGGCAAGTCACATTTTCTTTCTGATCCGGTTTCCTAGTCATAACCACTTCAAAGATCAATGCTTCAAAATAGATGAGCAGTTAACTGTTAATAGAATTCAATTATTAATGCCAAATAACAAGTTAAGAATTTTACATAAGTATCTGCTGCAAATTTCATTTGAGTGCTTCTTTCTCCTGTGTATCCAAAACATAAGAAAAATAAATGTATTTTTCTTTAAAGAACTATTATACATATAGGATGGAAGTTAGAATCTAAGATCGGGAGTTACACAGTATGTCTAACAATGAGGCAGTACATGACGGAATTTGGGTTTCTTGAGTATCATTGAAATAAAATAAATATTCTTTAATCCCAACAATTACAGTAATCTAGCTTAAGTTTGGAAATATATTTGGTACAGACAGACTGTACTAAAATGAAACACAGACAACTGTAGGTGTGAAAACCACACAATTAGAAATAAAGATCAAACACTAAAGTGGATATTGACATCACCAAAAATTATATTGATAGTAGGATGGGATTGAACATTGCGGGGGTGGGGGGTGGAGGCTGGTATTTAAATCTTCAAGCAATGAAGAGAAAATGACAGAGAGAACTTTAACTAACTCAGAGAAGGAGATGTTAGCAGGCCAAAAAAAACCTGATAACTCATGAAATGAGTTTCAGAGCTAGGCATTTTATTGTGTGTGATGGAAAAGGTGATAAAGTTAAAAACATTTTACAAAGTAATACGCTAATCCTGATCAACATTATCATTAAGCAAATAAAAATGAGTTTAAATAAAATAGATATTAATGTTAAATGTGAATTTTGTGTTATTAATCTTAAATACATGTAAACTCAAGTTTATAAAAATTTCTAGCAAATCTTGATTTTTGTATGAAATATTGACTAGTCTTCCACAGGACATATGAAGGATTGGTTACCAGTTCATGATCACAGTACTAACAATACCTTGATAAAAGCAGAAGAAATAGCAAAAGTTGTGTGAAGGAAATCCAAAATTATGAAAGGGGAGAGGCTGTATTTATTACTGAATCAAATAACCAATTCTCCATTTTCATATTCATCAAAATTCAGTAGCATTTGACCTAGTGACTAGCACTGAGTACCTTTTTAAAAACACCACACACTTGACTCCTAGAAAGCTATTCTTGTTATGTTCCTTCACCTACAGTGGTTTCTCTGCTCTGTGCCTGCTACAAATGTCTTACCTCATAGACTACTGAACCCTAGAATGTCTCAGTGTCTCAGTACTAGACTCATTCTTGATTTATTTTCACAAACTAGGCAACATACTATGGCTTTAGATTCCATCTACAAACTACTTAAAATTTAAATTTTAACTGCCTTTCAGATCAGTATATATAAACACTTTTGTAAGCCCATCACTTAAAAGTATCACAATTAATGTTTTCATTGTAAAACTGTGATTTTTTAATGCAATTTTCTCCTTGAAAATATTTTAATGGTAGAAATGTAACCTATTCATTATGTAAATACAATAAGTACAAAGCAATGTTAGGATCATTTATTTTCTTAGTAATGTAGGCCATAGTTGTATTTATAACATCTTTTCTGGGTGTCATATTTTTTACCTTTAGCCCACATCACCTTTATATTTAATCTGCTGTATGTTTAGCTTCCATATGATGTTAATCCTATTTATAAAGATTCTAGTCCCTTCTAGGTAGCTCCACAGCTAACTGTAGGTCCCTTTCTTTTTCCTGGATAATTGGGCTTTTCTATAGCTTGGTAAAATATCTGTATTCTTTGTTCCTTTTTTTTACTCTCCTCAGTCTTTTCTCCAAACAGAAACATAATCCTAAAAAAAAATTCACATTATTTTGTCTTTTCCTCTGTAAAATCAATGCTCTTCTAGTGGTCAATAAGTCTACATGTATTCTGCATTACCTCTTCTTCTCTGATCCCAATCTTTTACCTCAATTGCTGTTATGTCCTGGCCAAATGTCTTCTTACATTTCCTTCAACATGGTAAGCATACTTTCTTCACCTGAATTTCCTTCATAAGACTATGTCACCATGCAAGAACTCCATGGAACTGATGCCACTACTTAAGATAACATTTTGTTTAAATTTAAGACTGTAAAGTTCACATATTTAGAGTACTCTTCCCTGCCCATGCACACTTACATTTAGCTATTATTGTGTCCATGGACCTCTTATTTGGCATTACACGACACTTAACATGAATTGTTTCAAAGAGAAAAGAGGCCATTGTTGCCACAAATCATCCCAATTTTGTACAAGAATTATGAACATATGCTTTTGTGTTTCTCTAAAAGAAGTAGTATTATCTCTATTGTAGAATAAAAACTGAAAATTATATTTACAGAGCCACTGATTACCAGATCTTGAATCTCTCTTCCACATCCAGCTACACACTCATTCATGACAGGCAATGCATTTCATCCCATATGTTGAACAAACCACTGACTGCCAAGTAAGTATGAGTGCAATAAATGTTGCTGAAGCAGAAAATGAATAAGATCACGTATTTAATAATAAAAAGCATATACAGGGAAAAAGTAATAGCTGAAAATGCACCAAGATTTTGAACTGAAGAATTAGTTACTACAAATTTAAAAATTACTTTTAAATGTACTTTATTTTTAATTGATTAATTTAATTATTAGATTTAATCAATTAATTAAATAGTTAATTAACTTAAATGTATTTTAAAAATTACACATTTATAGGTCAAATATTTTTATTATTGTTTTTGAGACTATAATTACATCTTTGATCCCATTCTCTTTCTTGCCTCCAAATCTTACCACATATAACCTCCTTGCTCTTTATTAAATTCATGGCCTTCTTTTTTCACTAATAATGACTCAACCATAAATTCAAATGATAAACCATCATATTAGCAATATTTAGTTCAGATTTGTGGAAAACGCTTTCATATCCTTGCTACTTCTGCTGTAAAGCAACCAAAGTATGTTGATGGTCATGGAAAATTTTCTATTTTCTAGACACAAACAATTAAACAATTCAATGATAAAGAGCTCTTATTGCTTAGTTGCCTCGTAGTTTGGTCAAGTGCAAAGCTGAGAAAGAATCCATTTGCCTCCTAGTAGCATTACCGCCCACTGGTGCCACATATCTTTGTTTCATGAAACAAGGCAGCCATTCAATTTCTCTAATATCACAGCTCAAATGTAATGTCTCACTTTTTTGACTTTGTCCTTTTACACATGACTTGTTCAGACCAAGACTTTTAAACACTTGCTTATTATTTATTTCCACCTTATTCTTTCCATTTTGCCTCTGATCACTTTGATAAGATAGACTATCCCCTATTAATAAGGCCATCCATTGACACTGCACAGTTCTATCCTTTTGCATTTCCTTGAATAAAGGTATGTTCCATTGAAGTTAAGAGGTATGTATAGATGAATCAATAAACAGATACTACACATCCGTTTCTATAGCAGCAGATAAAGCTGAGCTGGACCAAGGTGCATGAGCATAGGAGATGGTACAAACAGCATGTTCTTGATTTTTAAATAATAACATCAGGACAACCTCTGCTCTAACTAATCATAATCTCTACTCTGAAAGGACACATGATGGCTGTGCATTTATCTTCATGACTGTAGTGATGAAGGATGGAGCAGGACTAGCAGAGTCATGACTGACTTCTCTGACTTCTCACATGAGTGAAGATAAATGGCATGAAGTATGCTACTGTGAATCATAAACTGTAATTTCACATTTATGTCCACTAGCACAAACACTCTGTGGGCCTTTTTCCTGACCTGACAGTGGTTCCTTTTCAAAACACTGAACAATAACAACAGAGGACCTAGGGGAAAGTCAGACGGGATGAAAAATGCTAAAACCTCTTCTATTGACACAGGCTGCCCTGTGAGAGAAGACCTCAGAAGTCATCTCTCAGGGAACTCTCAACTGGTTGTGAGCCTCAGAATCAGATTTCCACATGTCTCTGGCTGCTATCATTAGGCTAATGTCATAAAAGAATCACAAAGAGTTCCCCAGGGTGTTTCCCTGGAAGCCTCTCTAGCCTGTGGAAATCCAAGAGAATTTTAGTTCTAACAATTCAGGAGACTTCCAGATTTTCACCCAGAGCCCTCTTGCTTAGTGCTATTCTGTGATGATACTTATTCATCTCAAGGATAACAAAATCTTAATTTCTGAGTCAAACTAGGACAATGTCATAACATTTCTAAAACCTCTGATAAGATGAATAGACTAAAGAAAGTTGTAGAATACCATCATGAGGGAGGGTAATCACTTATAGCTCTATGAGGTGGTTGTCCAATGCCAGAGTGGCGATTCATAGAGATGATGGTACTGAGAGTACTAAAGACTGGATGAAATAAGCACATTCAAACTTAAACCTATTACAACTGAATCCTGTTAGCCATGATTAAGTCCTCTTGATGGAATAGACTAGAAAATGGCTATGTCTAACCTACTAGAAATCTAATTATTCTCTATGCCAAATAGAGTAAGAGTTGCAGTTTTTGAATACAACCAGATTTTCCCCAGTTTCATTAGTCCTTCTCCCCTTATACTGATAAATTCAGACTGCCACCTCCTTAGTCAGGACAAATACTGACTCTTTTGTCCAAAGTCCCTCTCATATTCAGTCCCATGTCATTATTAATTCAGATTTAATTCCAATATTTTATTCTAAAAGTTTATATTCTATACAACAAGCTTCTTTC